AACAGAAGTGATGGTTTTTGGTGGCGCTTCTGAGGCCACTATTATAGATCTTGGTTCGCTGGCACAGTATGTTAAACCAGTCATCACTAATCTGGGAGTTAAAATAGAGGCAAATCTTAAACTTGAAAGCCAGGTCAGAGCTGTTGTAAGATCTAGCTTTTTTCATTTGAGGGAATTAGCCAAAATAAAGCCTATCTTATCGAAACAGCATTTTGAGACAGTAATCCATGCCTTTGTTACTTCTAGGCTGGATTATTGTAACTCACTTTATTTTGGGGTTAGTGATGCGTCCATTAGGCGCCTGCAGGTTGTGCAAAATGCTGCAGCACGTCTTTTAACTGGAACAAAAAAGTGTGAGCACATTACCCCCATTTTAATTTCACTCCACTGGCTACCTGTACATTTTAGGATTGTTTTTAAAATTCTCTTATTTGCTTTTAAATCTCTTAATGGCCTGGCCCCCCCCACCTCTCGGAGCTACTACAACCATATACACCTGCCCGTTCCCTTAGGTCTGCCAATCAGCAGCTCCTTAAGGTACCGAAAACTAAGTTTAAATAAATTTAAAGGTGATCGTGCTTCTGCTGTAGTTGCTCCAAAGTTGTGGAATGATCTACCCTTGCATGTTAGGCAGGCCTCTTCTCTTTCTGAATTTAAAAGTTATGTTAAAGTGCTTTATAAATAAAGGTGGTATGGTATGGTATAAACTGTTAGTGAGTCCTCTTATCCTTTTCAGTGGCAATATGTTTTTGTTGGTTTATTTTCAGGCATAGATTGTTACATATACTTGTTATTTAGGAACATGTTCGTTTTAAGGTGTTGTTAAACATAAGTGGTTTTTTGCTGGGTTATGATAAAGAGAAAAAAACAGCCACTTACATGTATTATATGTTAAATATGTGAATTTACATGTGAATTTACATATAATGATAAAATGAGCTTTCATTGCACTCAGGCATTCGTTTAGTGTTGTGTATTATGGTTTGAAAAGCACTTAGAACCTAAGGATTTGTATTCAGTATGGTTAAAGCAGTATATCAATGAAAAATATAAACTGCTCTCCTTTTTTAGCTGCCTACCCTCGATGTGAGTGTCAGTGTGTTGGATCCAATACTGTCCGAGACTGACCTCTCAGCCTCTAATCTACTAAAGGTAACTGTGGAGACAGCCTACTCTGTCCCAGACTCATGGATGCTGCCATCTGGCCCTGCTCCCACTACCTTCACATACACTGCTGCCCTAGAGATCCCTCTTACTGCAGACGTGAGTGTTATACTGTGCTTTTTATGTGGCCTCTTAAGGCATACTGCTCTATTCACACTAGCTTAAAATGTCAATCTTTCCAAGGGTGACGCGTTTTTGACAAATGTAGCTTTACTACTGCTTTGCTCCCAGCAAGACCAAGTGCTAGTGTTCCCTGAAGGGCAGCTGAAGGCAGGGGGGCAGAGAGAAGAAAAGGAACGTCAGAAGAAGAGGCCCCATAGGGACACACTAGCTCCAGAGAACCACTTCCTGCCTGGAGTCTTTTTCAAGCCAGAGGAAATTGATCAGGAGGATGGCGAGCTGACTGCTCGAGAGGTAAATACAAATGCAGCTTGCAGATACTACCAATAATGGTAGCTGGAATGTTGCAAAAAAAAGAAAGAAAGTTAAAAACACTCTTAAAGTGACCTTGAGATTTGAAAATCAGTTTTGTTCATCAGTTTCTTACCTGTTGAAGTTCAGGGTGTGCCTGCTGAGCTGGTATCAACATTCACTCAGCTTTAACATCGCCCTGGGTTCTTGGCCAGCTTAGCATTACCATTCTGTCTGTACAGATGCTTGCAAAGCAGCATAATGCTAACACAAGTTCCTGGATGCGGTTTGCACTTTACGATTGTGCTCTCGTCCTTTTGTGCAATAAAAATAAATGTAACGTCCATATCCGTACTACAGACCGTTGCATTTATTTCCCTTTTAAAAAGAAGGAAATAAAGTATTAATTTGCACATATGAGACACATGGAATTTTAGATTTGGATTTTATCGTATTTGCTACATCCACTAGATCACACTGATGTAGAATTCTGAAAAACAGACACATTTTCATCCATCAAATGTGATATACGTGGCATTACAGGGTTAGACAGAGACAAAAACTAACAAAGATGGGTAATAAGAGATCAGACGAACTGGATCAGATTCTAACTATCCCTGTCCCTAACAGGGACACCAACCCTTAGCATGTCCTTCTTCACTATATCCATGAACCTCCTCTGAGGTCTTACTCTTTTCCTCCTGCTTGACAGCTCCCTCTTTATATATTTGTCCACTCAACAAATCAAGAACTGAGGAAAATAATAAAACCCAAGAATCAATGTTGATAAACTCAAAGGAAGACAAAAACTCAGATAATCCAAAAAACACAATTCCATTGAAGATAACAGCATGTAAAAGCTTATTTATAGGCTTGTGGTGTAAATGTTCCCACAGGACCGGGCATTTCGTGATGAGGCAGAGACCACGAAGAACAGAGTGAGCTGGGACACAGAGATGTACTGCTTTCTGGACGCAGGGGGAACTACAAGGTTGGAGGCTGAGCATGCAAATCACTCCTTTATTTCTCTGTGTATGCTACCTGCTGGCTACAATTTTACGAATTTAATCTAGAAAGGGAAAGTCAGTCACCAGTTTCTTTGCTACAGAACACATGTTATAGCAGAGTCTAAGAGCAGGATTTCCTTATTCAGAACATTTCAGGCATGCAAGGAAATCAGAAAGTAATGAAAAAGGAATTTGATCTTATCACTGATTTTAGGCACACAGTGAGCATGTGATCTGTGCAAGTATAAGTAAATAGGCTTCATGCTTAGAGTAAAGGTCAAATCTATGAAACAAAAAACAACTAGTGCAGTGGTTTTCACAAAGGCCCACGTGAGAAATTGGGACTGTTGTGAGGGGCTGCACAAATAAGCTGAACTCAGTTATTATGCTCAATATTAACTGTATCACTATAAAATGCTACTGGTAAGAGTAGATGTTACAGCTAGACAACGAAAATGTGAAATATCCATAGTAAAAATTGAATTTTTTTTTTTATCACAGTTTAATCAACATTCTCCAAAATGACACTTTTTTTCCTCAGTGAAAGAAATCTAGTCTGCTTTACCAACCCTTTGTTTGCTTGGCAGTAGCACTGAAGTTGAAACTCTCTCAAACAAATACATGAATCCACTCCTTGTTTCTCTAAGTATCGCCAAGACAACAATAGTTCTTAGCTGGAAATCAAAGAAACAGTTACATATTAACATCCAGACAAACCTTCTCATTGAAGACACACATTTAGAAACCATCACATTCTTGCAAAAAGACAATAGAGCTGTATTTTATCAACATTTTAAACCCATTTTTTGAATTAATTAAACATGGTGATGATGATGATGATTATTATTATTATCATTGTTTTTGTTGTTGTTGTTTAGAACAATTTAATATGTGACCTTGGGACTGGTGGGTTCTGGAGTTGCTCACTAGGTGGGTTTAGGCTGTGGTGGGACCTCGTCCTGGACCTCCATCCACTGTGCCCCATCTCTCATGTTGTCGGCCAACTAATGACATTGTCTTTGCAACACATTAGGAAACAAAAATAAAACAAAGGAATAAAGAAAGGAAAAAAATAATAATATAAAACAGCTGTAATACACATGAAAGGGTAGGTTAAACATGATTAAAGTGGGATTTGCATCTCACAGTGTTTTTTTATTACATCACACAAGATTAGGGTTACCAAAAATATAGCAAGCTTTTAATATAACAAAAAAAGATCAAGGCAGTCATGTCAGTGTAAGCCGATATAGGTTGAATGGGTGCTTCTGGGTTGGGAGGTGTGAATGGGATGTCCCCTGGGCTGCACCCTCCATGCCTTTGGTGAATTGCTCTAGGATGATGGAAAACACAAAGAGAGAATATAAAATTGTGTGTATCAGTACTGATTGTAATTTCAGGTTGAAGCAAAGCATAACTAAGAGCAGATTGTGGCCAGTGGAGATCATGAGGTCATTGGCTCCATTATCAAAGGTTAGTATTCCTTTTTATTCTCTCTTCTTTGGTGTTTGGATTTCCAGTATTTAGGATATCATATGCAATAAGCTTAGAAAAAACAACATGTGATTTTAAGTCTAACTGAGATGGAGACCAGACCAGACCTGTGTGTGTTTGTGTGTAGTTAGGTGCTGAGGACTCAGAAATCCCCCACCATGGTTTGGCATTTATAGACTTTGGGCAGCTGCTGTATCCTGGAGTCCAGCGAATCCGAGGAGCATACAGCATTCAGTCTTTCTCTGAGGAAGATTTGCTGAATAAGGTTTCAGTAACACACTCACATCACTCATTTGCTTTAAATTTTGTTTCCTTGTAAAATATAAATAAAAACAGAATGGAGTACTTAGTTAATCTCACAAACCAATATTTTATTCACAGTAAAAATCAGAAAACAAATCAAATATTAAAACTGAGAATGTATATTTATGCGTAAAATATGGGTTTATGAATTTTGGAAATAATTTTACTCTCTTTATAAATACAATTTACACAGTGTTCCAACTCTGGGGTTGCAGTTGATATTACCTTTATTTAAATAGGGCTGTTAAATTGCTTTGTGCACTGTTTAACCTCTATTAAAAAATTTTTTTTCATTGATCTTGCACTCAAAGGCCAAGCGAAGCATCAGTGTTTTAAAGGAAAAAGCTAAGGAAGCTGCCAGCCAGGCCAAAGATATTGTCAGCTCTAACAAAGCAGGAAAGAACATGAATGGAAGCAACAAGGGACCCACAGATTCCAATGAGCAAGGCAAAAAGGTCAGAAAAGTTTTGATGGTCACAAGTGAATAATTCTTTAGAGTTTTTATAAGTTTTCCAGCATAAGCAAAGTCCAGCGGTTCCTTTTCCCCCTCAAACAATTAAACCGGACTTCACTTATAAGAATTTTTTTTTAGACCATAACATAAAGTTTTTTAAAATTATATCAGCAACATGCAAATCACAGTGAAGGAGCTGTGCCATTAACTGCAGCTGGCCTGCAGTGATTTATATGAACCTGAGCCACAAGTCAATGCAGAGGGAACCCTACGCTCCATGTAAACATCAACATAACTCTGCACAGCATTAGCGAAGAAATCAATAAAATTATCCATGTTCCCTCTAAGCTGCGCGTGTGCGCAATTGCGCACTGCTGGCACGGTCTCTGCGCATGCA